TGTGTGTGGTGTGTGTGTGTGTGTGTGTGTGTGTGTGTGTGTGTGTGTGTGTGTGTGTGTGTGTGTGTGGTGTGTGTGTGTGTGTGGTGTGTGTGTGTGGTGTGTGTGTGTGGTGTGTGTGTGTGGTGTGTGTGTGTGGTGTGTGTGTGTGGTGTGTGTGTGTGGTGTGTGTGTGTGGTGTGTGTGTGTGGTGTGTGTGTGTGTGTGGTGTGGTGTGTGTGGTGGTGTGTGTGTGTGTTGTGTGTGTGTGTGTGTGTGTGTGTGTGTGTGTGTGGTGTGTTGTTGTGTGTGTGTGTGTGTGTGTAACGTGCCGAATAGATAAAATTTGCGATTTTGGCTTAAACAACAACGCTCATCTTGCCGAGTGAGGCAAGCAAAAATTTGTGTATGCAGTAATTTCGCAAAAATTATTCTGAACCTAACTTATCTAAAATATAAGTAGTTGGATTAGGCTAAATTAAATTGCGCTTGTTATTATAAAGTTAGGCAAGTTTACTAAGGTTCTTTTGCTACAAATTTATTAATTTTTACATTAACATAAATAAAAAAATATATATCTTTAAACGTACAAGAGAAAATTTCAGAAAACACAATTTTAAATGAGCTCTTGCTAATTGACCAGTTTTACCTATTCGGCAATATATATATATATATATATATATATATATATATATATATATATATATATATATATATATATATATATATATATATATGTGTGTGTGTGTGTGTGTGTACTCACCTATTTGTACTCACCTATTTGTGGTTGCAGGGGTCGAGTCCTAGCTCCTGGCCCCGCCTCTTCACCGGTTGCTACTAGACCCTCTCTCTCCCCGCTCCATGAGCTTTATCAAACCTCGTCTTAAAACTGTGTATGGTTCCTGCCTCCACTACGTCATTTTCTAGGCTATTCCACTGCCTTACAACTCTATGACTGAAGAAATACTTCCTACTATCTCTCTGACTCATTTGTGTCTTCAACTTCCAATTGTGGCCTCTTGTTTCTGTGTCCCCTCCCTGGAACATCCTGTCCTTGTCCACCTTGTCTATTCCACGCAGTATTTTATATGTCGTTATCATGTCTCCCCTGACCCTCCTGTCCTCCAGTGTCGTCAGGCCGATTTCCCTTAATCTTTCTTCATAGGACATTCCCCTTAGCTCTGGAACTAACCTTGTTGCAAACCTTTGTACTTTCTCTAGTTTCTTGACGTGCTTTATCAAGTGCGGGTTCCAAACAGGTGCTGCATACTCCAGTATGGGCCTGACATACACGGTGTACAGTGTCTTGAATGATTCCTGTGTGTGTGTGTGTGTGTGTAAAAACAATAAGGAATTGATCAATACAACCGTGTGCATCATTACCTAGCACTAAGTGGTGGAGATTCGATCCTCGATGCTTTCATTGCGAGACGCAAATTCTCGTAGCCATGGAAGAATGTACAAATAGCCACGAATAATGTAGCAGTCAGTGTAAAGGGTACAAAACTCTTCATTATACCAAAGGTATACAATACCGACAAGATAAGGTGACGTCGACAATGGAGATACACAAGTGTGACGGATGTGGCTTATTCGTCAAGACTCCAACACACGTCTGTCATCAAGGGGCTTTATAACAAATTAATCCAAAGAATGCAAAGAACAATTCTTTTTATTGTATTCCGTTTTGCCCTAAATGTGCGTTAGTCAAGACTACAGCCTGATAACGTCCACAGACTTGATAAATCACTACGGTGGGTGAAGCATTATCTGAAAATTAGGCTCTATAACAGCAGAGCTGCGACCTTCAAGCACAACAGTCTTCTTGGTCAGGCAAAGAACCAGGAGACCTGGCCAGACACCTGACCGTCGGCATATTAAACGTGCGTTTTAGCACGCAATTTAGTTTGTGTATTTAGGCCCGATCCACACAACGTCAAGGCTTCGGCATTTGTTACTCAGGGTTAGGTTAACGCAAATTACCCAATACTGACACCCAGTTAACCGGTAACAGCGAAGTAAAATTAAGTCTCCCTCAACGCGGGGCATTGGTATCCCTTCCCCACACACCGAAGCAGTTGGATGGGTTTGGGATAAAACAAAACCTTGGTATCCATGCATAAACACTGCTGAACCTATAGGATGGGTTGGTATGGGGCTCCAGAGTGTGTTGGTATGACCAAACTGCACAATAGTGGGTGGAGGATGAGCTATCCCTGGGGTTCAACAGAGCTGATATATAAGCCGCAGGAAGAGCTGACTCCCGGGGTTCAACAGAGCGCGTCCCGGCTGATGGGGGAACACCCAGCCTAGCCATTATGCGCTAACTTTGAGACCGCCATCAATCTTAGTCCTCGATACACAAACTTAAGTTTTCGTGCGGTCAATGTTGTCTTTTTAGAACGGTAGAGGAATGGGGTCATTCCGGCCGGCTTGCTTGCTCCTGTTAGGGAGGCCAGATGTTGTGCTCCTCCTGTTGGGGAGGCCAGATGTTGTGCTGCTCCTGTTGGGGAGGACAGACGTTGTGCTCCTCCTGTTAGGGAGGCCAGACGTTGTGCTCCTGTTAGGGAGGCCAGACGTTGTGCTCCTCCTGTTAGGGAGGCCAGACGTTGTGCTCCTCCTGTTAGGGAGGCCAGATGTTGTGCTCCTCCTGTTGGGGAGGACAGACGTTGTGCTCCTCCTGTTAGGGAGGCCAGACGTTGTGCTCCTCCTGTTAGGGAGGCCAGACGTTGTGCTCCTCCTGTTAGGGAGGCCAGACGTTGTGCTCCTCCTGTTAGGGAGGCCAGACGTTGTGCTCCTCCTGTTACGGAGGCCAGACGTTGTGCTCCTCCTGTTAGGAAGGCCAGACGTTGTGCTCCTCCTCTTAGGGAGGCCAGACGTTGTGCTCCTCCTCTTAGGGAGGCCAGACGTTGTGCTCCTGTTAGAGAGGCCACTTGATGTACCTTCTTTCTGTTGTGGAGGCGGGGTATGTTCTGTTTGTTGGCAAGGCCAGATGGTGTATTTTCTTCCCGTTGGTGAGGCCAGATAGGATGCTTTGCTTGTTGGGAAAACCTGAGGGGGTATCATCTAATATACTAAAGAAATAATGCCTCGGATTTAATTGGTACTTACCCCTCCTATCTTGACATTGATGAGTAAGACGCATGTACACCTCAGATTTCACTGGTACTGACCCCCTCCTATCTCTTCCCTGATGAATAAGACACATATACAGCACTGGAAATCTTTATTGTTGTAAATGTGTCATTCATTAGTTTGTCGGAACTGTTCATCATTTATAATACGATTATATCGCCACTATCCTCTAAAACATATCCTCTTATAGGAATTATTTTCCAGTTTTAATGCAGTTAGATCTGTTAGTAAAACGTTATATTCCACTTCGAACAATGGGAGAGCATAAATACCTCTAGCAGAGGAAACCTTATTTTGAGACGTTTCGATCAAGTTAGAGCTATATTTATGTCAGGATGACCTGACTTGTAACAGCTCACCGGTAATCAATACGATCTTCAAATACCCGATTGTATGTTCTGCCTTTAAAAACTACCTTTATAAACGTGATTAATAATAGAGGTTATGTTATATACACCGAGAGGTATATATTTCTTAGTGTATATATGCTGAGAGTATTTTAATCACTAATTTATGGATTAAAGTTTCCTTGACTGGTGGTGGTGGTCAGGTTGTGTACAGCCTGTATCACCGTCGTGTAGTGTATAGGATTTAAACTCGATAAACAGATCAAGTAGAAGGATTCCCACATGTTTTGCTCTCTCGTGAAGTCGATTTTGTGGTGGACTTACAATTGCAAACTCGCCGGTTCGACCACTGTACTAATTAAGCAATTCATTACAATCAAGACAGAATAGCACGAGATTCTGATTTCATTGTAACCTTCTCTCGGATCATCAGTACAGATTGCTTAAGACCCTATTAGCAATGATCACTTAACTCGTACATGTTGAATCAAGTTAGAACATTTTGGCATAGCCCTGGATACTGACAGACAAATCTTGCCTCTCCCTGCTGTTTATCATCTCAGCCTTCTCTGCAAAACTGATTTCGAGATTTACCTGATACCTACTTCCATTTTCAAGGAACGTGGATACAAGCTGGTGAAGAGCTCGATAAAAAAAACAGACCTACCCTCCCTTTCCTATGACCAAACCTCATTTCCTCCCTCTCTCTCTCTCCTACTATTCTTCAGGTATTATATGAACCTTACATGAATATACTACTACTACTACTGCTAATATAATACAAATATTGATCTACCTCCGTTGTTGATAGTTCGGCTTCTGCCTCTCACAACTGGGAAAGGTCTTTCTTTACCAGGATTATTAATACTTTGGTGGTGGTGGTGGTGGTGGTGGTGGTCAGGGTAAAAAATCACCTGACACGAGTCTTTGTCATAAGAGTCCAAAAGTTTTGACGGGTTTTCGTTTCGTACTTACGTAACGGGACGACAGTCTCTTCCTGGACAGCTGCTGTCTATTAGCAAATACCAAAGGAGTAGCTGATTTTTTCCTCTCTAATACATTAAGAAAGTTGCATATTGCGTGATTTTTTTTAATTTCCCCTAATTCTAAATGAGTAAAAAAGTCGGATGACTTGAGAAATTTCCAACAGGTTGAAGAAATTATAATCATTTCCCGTAATAAGTATTTTAAACAAATGTTTCCAAAATATACAGTTAATCTGACAGAACTGTTGGTATTCTTAAAATAACATCTTTGAAGGAGACTAGTAACTCTTCTGCCTTATACCACTGTATATTATATGCTAAAATTGATCACTCCTCGCGCAGATTCATGGTCTTTCGTGAGTAAGTTGCTGATATACGTGAATATTTGAAACAGAATATTCAAACCACTTCAGGAACAAGTCTAAATAAATTTCATCGAAGCCTCTATCTGCTTCTCCCAGGCAATGGGTACCGAAATTTGCACCAGAAGTGGATCCCATTTATATTTTGGACATGTGAATATATTTATCTTTAAACAAGAAATGCTACTCACCAGAGTCACCGAGAGAGTAAGAGTAGTTTCTGTCGTCCAAGTATTCAGGCGTGAGGTATATAGTCCTGCCAGGCCGCCCACACCCGCCCACCTGTAGTGTCCAGGGCGTGTGCACGTACACAGGATGGGGTCGCGTTATGGTGAAGGCTGGCGGTGTGGTGGGTATGCTGGTAGTGTTGAAAGCCAGAGAGCAGCTGGTGGTGGACCAGTGAACCGGTACCACCACCGTCACGCTACGGAAGTACGCACGATGACGCGTGGCTCGGTACAACACGCTGGAGGCTTCCCCCAGCACCTCCTGCAAGAGACAAAGAAATGGTTACCGAGTGGAACAACATCCTGGAATATCCTCGTGGATCACTTACTGGAAGATGCTACCCATGGATCACTCACGTCCTGGAACAATCATCGCTCACTCTCTGGAATACACTATAGATTCTGCAGATCCTGGAACACTAATGGATCACTCTTTGGAGTGTACATGCAATGAATCATTCAAGACTTGGAACATCGATGGTATCCTCACGCCCTGGAACACTGACAGATCTTTAACTGGAATATGCAAGCTATGGATCATTCAAGCTCTGGAACAGTGGTGGATGACAGAGTTGACCCTTCACCTGGAATACACAAGAATCCCTCACGTTCTGGAACAGAGTAATCGAATAGGACAAATGAGTTAGTAAATACATGAACTGCAAATTATACTCTCCCCTTCTACCGCCCAATACCCTCGCTTCCTTCCCTACCCTGCAGCGCTGTATAGCCCTTGTGGCTTAGCGCTTCTTTTTGATTATAATAATAAAAATAATAATAATAATAATAATAATGCAAATTATAAAAAAATACTAAAGACGGGGCCCAAGAGTACAGCTTTGCTACTGTAACTAAACACGGGGCAGCAAGAGTACAGCTTTGCTACTGCAGCTACAAACACTGTTATTAGTACCATGTCACACCCCAACAATAACCACATTTGAGACAGAATTTGTAGATATAACTAAGTATACGTTTTCAATGTATATACCTAAAACAGATGTGTCTGCAGTATGTTTACACTGCTTAATGTGCGTACTGTGTATACCTAAATCGTACAGGTGTATGTTTATACTATGTGTTCTACAATGTATGTTTGCAGTGGGGATGCTGCGGTTGAGGGGGCGTCTAAACTGTGATGCTGGCGCCCTTCTGACAAGAAAGTGATTTAACGAGTGACAGTGAAAGTGTTTTCTTCTTTGTCGGGTCACTCTGCCTCGGTGGGAGACGGCTGGAGTGCTTAAAAAAAGTTTGCATTGCATATGTTTACAATGTATGCATTTAAAATGTGTATGTTTACAATGAATAACGATGTGTGTACAATGTATACGTTTATGTATAAGCTTACCCTTTATATGTCTGCAATGCCTATGTCTACAATGCATATACACTGTGTACAATTCCAGTGCATATGTTTACAGGGAATTTTACAGTATATATATATATATATATATATAATATATATATATATATATATATATATATATATATATATATATATATATATATTATATAATATATATATATATTATATATATATATATATATTATATATATATATATATATATATATATATATATATATATATATATATATATATATATATATATATGTATATATATATATATATATATATAATATATATATATATATATATATATATATATATATATATATATATATATATATTATATATAATTTATATATATAAATAATTCAGGTTTATCAAACTAAATACAATTTTTTTCCCATTAAGATGAAACGACTCTTGGACACATCTTGCCTATTTATAGTATTAATTAAGGCCCTTTAATTACCAGCATTTTTGATCTCAGGCTGAATTCAAGACAATTACACCCTTAATCACCTGCTGGTCAATTATCTGCCCAGTTTATGGAGATTAGACACCACGGACGCAAGGCATAATTGGTAGCAATTATCATTTGCCACAACTTGTTTTCAGTCTTTTGGAGGAGATTTGTTCATGCTCATTTTTATTTACGAATGATTTAAGAGACTATTATTATTATTATTATTATTATTATTATTATTATTATTATTATAATAGTCAGGGGGAAGCGCTAAACCCGTAAAACCTGAAATTATGAAGAATGTTCTACTTCGTGGATAAAGAGCAGCATATGATGGCGCTTCATAAAAAAAAAAGATTGAGAAAATAAGCAAGAAAAGCCAGAGAGGGACACAGAAAAATATAGATTGTTTTACTAAGAGTTGTAGAGGGCTTCCAGGGGTTGTAGAACAACCGCTGGAAACTTTAATATATTACAAAACAAGTATTAAAAGGAGCAACTTAGACAGCACAACTCTGCTACCGTAGCTACAGTCACAGAAGAAAGGACACTGCTAGCCTGCTACTGTAACTACAAACACTAAGACGGGACACTACAAGCACATCTCTGCTCCTGTAACTACAGATGGACAATCACGTTAGATTACTACACAAGTTCCTGACCAAAGTTGTATTTGCGTAAGCCTCGACTCTAATTGATCCTTGCAAGCAGCATCTCGCCTCAGGAAAGTGTGTCCACGCATAATGCGCGATTGCAATTACCTTTTAACAAGAACGGTAAAAGAAACAAGTGTACACGGCATCACTTCTTTGCACCATGTGTCTTGCCAGTGACTATGTACTAATGACATGTTGACATGTAGTGGGAAGAGCCTCACCCCTGGCAAACCCAGAGCTCCACTACTCTAGTGCAAAGCCGAGATTTAATTAGGGTAATTAACCAAGGGTTATCAAAGGAAGTGTTATGGCTCATTCCCACTGGGCACTCCGGTCGTTCCCTACAATAAAACCCACACGCTGACACTCACAGATACTGATTTTCCGCTGAATAAGCATGAACAGTAAGTGTAAGAAAACCTACCTATACTGTCGCCCTGTCAGGAAATCGACTGAGGGACTTTTCAATTGAGTTAAAAACTTAACACTCACTGAGCAACAAATTCATGTCATTCACTGGAGAGATGAGAATTGAGCTCATGGTCTAAAATTACCAGCCCGTCGGGTTACACACTTGAGCGCAGAGAACCAGCACAGTGGGCTGGTGTTTAGAGGCCACAATCTCGAATCCTGTTCCACTGAATTAATACTTTTGTCCTCTGTGGCTTTTAGGCCATCTAATCAAGGTGTAGCATTTTGAATGGGGTCACATTTCAAGGAAAATAAGAAGCTATGATCTTGGGAAGTATTCAGAGAGCAGAGTAACAACAATGGCCTAGATTAAAATGTTAACGAGTCAAGATTCGGGTTTAAAAAGACAATGGGTATTATCTAAGACTTGGGGGAGAGGGGGGCCAACAGCGGGCGTTATCCAGGGGATATAGACTGACTTGGGGGCGGGGGATGGTTGACCGGAACCTCTATTGTAGTGCCCAGACTTGAAGGGAAGCGACCAGAGCTCTGGACGAGGCTGGTATATAATCGGTGTGGGTGGAAGAGGGAAACTGCGAGGAGAGGCTGGGAAGAGATGGAGAGAGGCTGGGAAGAGATGGAGAGAGACTGGGAAGAGATGGAGAGAGGCTGGGAAGAGATGGAGAGAGGCTGGGAAAAGATGGAGAGAGGCTGGGAAGAGATGGAGAGAGGCTGGGAAAAGATGGAGAGAGGCTGGGAAGAGATGGAGAGAGGCTGGGAAGAGATGGAGAGAGGCTGGGAAGAGATGGAGAGAGGCTGGGAAGAGATGGAGAGAGGCTGGGAAGAGATGGAGAGAGGCTGGGAGAGATGGAGAGAGGCGGGAAGAGATGGAGAGAGGCTGGGAAGAGATGGAGAGAGGCTGGGAAGAGATGGAGAGAGGCGGGGATGGGGGTGAAGAAAGAGAAGGAAGGGTGGGACATTTTCATACACAATATATTGTAGTTTATAAATATATACATCATGCCGAATAGGTAAAACTGGTCAATTAGCAAGAACTCATTTAAAATTAAGTTCTAAAATTTTCTCTTATAGGTTTAAAGATATATTTTTTCATTAATGTTAATGTAAAAATTTATAATTTTGCACGAAAAGAATCTTAGAAAACTTACGTAACCTTATTATAACAAGCGCAATTTATTTTAGCCTAATCCAACTAAATATATTTTAGATACTTTTACAATAATTTAATAATAAACAGACACAATGAAATACATTTTTTTCGTTTGGTTCAGACTGATTTTTGCGAAATTATTGCATACACAAATTTTCGCTTGTCTTACATGGCAAGATGAGCGTTGCTATTTAAGTCAAGATCGCAAATTATACATATTCAGAACGACATATATATATATATATAATATATATAATATATATATATAATATTTTATATATATATATATATATATATATATATATATATATATAATTTTATATAAATATATACACACGCGCGCGCACACATTTATAGTAGGACCAAAACCGTGACGAATACCATCTAAGATCCCAAACGAAATAAACTTACAACCAGTTTACATCATTTACGTGGAAAAAGCAGGAATGTTACATAATCGGTACAACAGCGCAATATTACGGGATAAATTCTAGTTAATGTTTACAACTGCGATATAAATGCCAAATTAAAGTGATGCTAAATATAGTACATTTTAACAAGAGAATTACACTGGCACAGCCTAAATCTGAAATTAATACACTGTAAATGAGACTACAGCAAATGATTTTCAATCTTAATTAAATATCTTAATGGATAATGTAAAAAAAAAAAACACTGATAGAGGACGGGAGAGATGGGAGAACATGATAATCAGGCATAAGACACTAAGGAATTGATAAGGTGAACAGAGGCAGAATGTTTCAGAGATGACACACAGGAACAAGAGGACACAACTGGAAGTTGAAATCTCCGACGGGTCATAGGAATGTTAGGAATTATTTCTTCATTGTAAATTACTTAATGTAAACCAGTCGCAGATTTTGTTATACACAAACTTTTTTAGGAAAATAGTTACATACCTTATACAAAAAGGTATATACATTTAAGTTTGGGATAAATCATATAGATTAAATAATCTTAGCCGTTTTACTCTTTTCGTGATGCATTTATAGATTCTGACGATGAAGAAACACTCAAAACGTCAATAAAGAAATAGGATATCTTTTAAAGATAACATTATTCACAGCCTTGGTTTTGTTGTGTATATATATATAGTTCTTGTTCTTCTCTATTTCCCCTTATCTCCATGGGAAGGCGGAAAAGAATTCTTCCTCCGTAAGTCATGCGTGTTGTAAGAGGCGACTAAGATGC